TGATTCCGAAGGACCCTGTCCTCGCCCAGGCTTCAGTCAGGCTCTTCGGAGCTCTCTTTTCAACTCGGCCTTGTCCTTGGTCTGATAGGTCCAGTCCAGCAAGAATCCTGGTGAGCCACTTAAGAATCTCCCATTAGGGTAGACCCTAATGGGTATCACTTTGATACCTAATCAAACTCCTCAGAGTAATTTTCATCCATTGACGCCCCTAGTCTGCCTGCTGGCTATAAGTCCTCACTTGTCCTTGCTGTATTTAGAGCTGAATTTCATCTTTCTTCTTCCCTATTGCAACATCTTGAATAAAGCCTCTTAATCTGTTTAACTCCAGCTGGTGCAAACTTTCTTTGATTCAACCCAAGACAAAAGTCACTACATAGAGAGCACAGGCTATAGTAAACTGTTCCAGGCATTTATCTTAATGTTAATAGTTTTTGTTTTGCCTGATGATTTTTTTTAACTAGAATTTGTCTTAGAAATCAGACTATTTAAAAATTATTTTAATGTGAATTTTTAGCTTTTGCAAGGAAGTTTATCATGGTATCAAAACTAACTCATTTCCCCATTCCTGAGTAATGTTGATTCAGTAAAATATTGAATTGAATGAAATTGATGTAACACATAACATAACAGGAGATTAAGTAAATCAAAATTCTTTTACACAAGAATAAATCTGTGACTTGCTAGAAAAACTCTTTTAAGAGATAAGACTTTTTTGACATTCTCCTTCCATATAACTTAAATCAGGGTGGCCAGCTTTCTCACCTGAAGCATGGAGATAATATCATAGACCTCATCTTGATATGATTAATTTTGTAATATTAATATTTCTAATAAGCATATATTTGGTATTGGTACCATTCCTAGCACACTGCTCCTACAATCCTTGTAATTTCCTAGGTGGTAAGAATACTGAGAGCATCTTTTATTAAACTCTTTAGTTTTTTTTTGTCTTCAGTTCTGAAATAGCTCCATAGTGATAAGGTGAAAGGAATATCTTAATATTCATAACAAGTTTTTTTAACCACAACCAAGCCTATGTTAATGAGGCGCTTTTTTGGAAAGCTCTTAGTTAACCACCGGATGAGGGCTGGTTGCCAGGATAACCATCCTGTGATTAGAGGCTTGGGACTTTCAGCCCCACGCCCTTACCTCCAGGAAGGAGAGCGTGGCTGGGGGTGAAATTCATCACTAGTGGGTGCTGATTTAATCAATCATCCCTGTTTAGCAAAGCCTCCAAAAAAATTCATAGGGGGTGCTTCTGGATTGATGAGCACCAGGAGGTGCTGGGAGGGGGCACCCCTAGAGAGGACGGGGGAGATCCATGCCCCTCCCACATACCTTGCCCTGTATGTCCCTTCTATGTAGCTGTTCATGAGTTGTATCCTTTTATGATAAACCTGCAGTCTAGTAAGTAAACTGTATTTCTGTGTCCTTTAAACTGCTCTAGACAATGATCAAACCCATGGAGGGGTCTAGGGGTGTCTAATTCACAGTCACTCAGCCAGAAGTACAGGTGACAAATTGAATTTGTAGTTGCCAACTGAAGTGGAAGAGGGGGCATTCTTATGGGACTGAACCCTTAATTGGTGGGTCTGTGCAAACTCCAGGTATGCTGTGAAAGAATTAAATGGAATTGTAGGACACTCAGTGGTATTGGAGATCTGGTCAGTGAGACAAACATCATACATGTGGTGATCAGAAGTGAAGTGTTGAGAGCAGAGAGAACTCTCAGGAAAGCTTTCCTTTTTCCTGATTAAATGAGGTTGCATATTTAAACTGCCTAGTATAATTTTTGGCCCATGGTAGAAATTCAATAAAAAAAAAAATAGAGAGGCAACCTTTTATTCCCTTTTCCTATTAATAGGCAATTCTAGCATCTTGTCTTCAAAATATAACTGATTAAATTAGCCAGAATCAAGCCCACAATAATGACAATATGTTGCACTATAAAGGCCAGTATTTCAGAAGAGAGCAAAATAATTTCATAGCAAGGCTGTAATTCATCAAATTGGTTGAATGTACTATCAGTTAACAGTTTTATTAAATTTCTCCCAACTGTATATTTTATTTCTGTTAAGAATACACAATTTAGTGTATAATTAGAGAACGCATTTGGGGCTTTTCCTTATGAGAAAAAGGACTTTTTATAAAAATGTCCTCTAAACTTGAAATACTATGGAAACATTTTGATCTTGAATCTCACAGGAAATTAAACCAATGCAAACTTTTCCAGAAGTTTAAATACTGTATGTATTTTTTCCAAGAAAATGGCAACTTCTTTTATCTTTCTCTTTTTCAGTCCTTTGCTAAAGGACTTAAAATAAAAATAAAAAACTGCTTCAAGTGAAAGGTTCTTTAGAAACAAAATTAACTCAGGCGATGAGAGTAGTTTTCATCAGTTATTGATCTTATGCGCTTCCCAGGTGGCGCTACTGATAAAGAACCCGCCTGCCAATGCTGGAAACATAGGAGGCGTGGGGTAAATCCCTGGGTCAGGAAGATCCCTTGGAGGCGGGCAAGGCAACCCATTCTAGTATTCTTGCCTGGAGAATCCCATCAACAGAGGAGCCTGGCATGCTACAGTCCATGGGGGTCGCAAAAAGTTGGACATGACTGAAGCAACTTCGCAGGCATGCATGCACCAATATATTTCCTACATAATATTCTAGTGAGGTGAAGAAGTTAATATATCTTCTAAAAGGCTTTCATAAACCCCTAGGGAATAAAAACACCACTCATTGATAGGGTTTAGTTCATTCTTCTATATTAAAAATGAAGTCATGCTGATGACATTGCTGAACATTTGCACGCTACTATTTATGAGTCCAGAGTAGGTGGTTTATAGACTTTTGGCCATGAAATTATGAATTTTACTAAGCTATGACCATGTGGAATCATGGAGCCGGCTTGTTAGAGAACTGTATAGAAGTTAAAGGACCAAAGTCTGAAATTCACTCATAAGGATTTTAGAAAATAAGCTGAGATAAAACATTTCCCTGTAACATAGGCAGTAATTATTAAAATCCATAAGGAAATGAATGAGCTGAACTATGCAGCTCTCTGGGAATGTAGCATTCCCTGCAGAAGGAAAAGCAAATGTGAAGTCCTTGAAGTGTGAGCTTGTTTGCATTGTTTGTGATTAAGAAGCAGTGAGGACAAGTGTAGATCATTCAGATTGGTTAAGGAGGGATGTACTAGAAATTGAGAGGGACCCCTGGGTTTGTTCTATTATTTTTTTTTTTTCTGACATACACACACTGCTATATTTATTTATTTGGTCACACTGGGTCTTCGTTACTGCACGTGGGCTTTCTCTAGTTGCAGAAAGTGGGAGCTACTCTCTATTTGCAGGGCATGGGCTTCTCATTCTGGCGGCTGCATTTTTTTTTTTTTTTTTGCGGAGCACAGACTCTGAGCATGCAGTCTTCAGATAGTTAAGGTTTGAGGTACAGGGGATCATCACAGCAGTGATAAAAAAGAAATAAATAAATAAACATGAAACAAAGCCAAAACAAATGGCCTCTGGACCAGATTGGCATGCAGCTCTGCATTACTATTTGGATGGCCTTGAACCCACACTCTGTGATGGTTGTGAAGTACCCAGGAACTTCCCACTTGCCTCGACCCTCTCTCCTACTTCTGAAGAGTGAAAATCTCCCCGGGATGCAGTGGACAGAGTCCTGCTTTCTATCATCCTCAGCTGAAAAGCTATCACTTGGGAAGCTTTTCCCCCAAAAGGCAGATATGATTTTGACTGGGATCTAACACTGTAGGGTTCAGTTACGTTTTCAGTTGAATTATCTTGGGTTAGCATTTGAGGAATGAATACCATTTAATTCACTAAAGCAGGAAAATCAGGAGGCACAATTTTACATTACTGTGTCTGCTAAAGTTCAGCTATTGCATATAATAAACGTTAAAAATAACTAACTTAGAAAGAAGGTATTTAATTACTTTGTTAAATATCAGATATTATTGAGAATAAAAAATGTGCTTTCTGATACCAACTGAAGTTATATATATATATTCCAGATGCCAGCTTATACCTTTTGCTTGTGTTCAACCCACACATAGGTTTTGATAAAATAAGAGTGTACAACATAAGGAAGGACTCAGTTCCTTCAAAGTGAATAAAATAATAATTAGGTGGCTTGATCAAGGAATTCCAAGAGATGGACTCAAGTTTGATTTTAGAATACACAGATTGCATACAACTTTATCATATTGCGAAAGAAAGTGAAAGTGGAGTCTCTCAGTCGTGTCCAACTCTTTGCAAACTCATGGACTGTAGCCCACCAGGCTCCTCTGTCCATGGGATTTTCCAGGCGAGAATACTGGAGTGGGGTGCCATTTCCTTCTCAGGGGATCTTCCCAACCCAGGGAATGAACCCAGGTCTCCTGCATTGCAGACAGATGCTTTACTATCTGAGCCACCAGGGAAGTCCTTCATATTGTACAGTGGCATTTACTTGATAAATATACTTCTTTATAATCAATAATAATAAGTTAAACATTTAAAAATTAAATATTAATAAAAAATCCCTCTCCCAGTTGTTTAAAAATGTTTTCAATAGAGGTTTGTTAGTGTGGAAACCATTGTGTCTCTTGAGAAATACATAAAATATTCCTCTCCCCTTCACCACTGTCTCTAGTAACCTATTATTGGGTGTATTTAGAAGTGAATAACCTTAGAGTGAATGCCAGAGGTAGACAGATGCATTGCCTCTTTCCTTCTTTATGATTCCATTAATTAAAAAAAGAAAGCTAATTATCTGGGAGGGAATGTGTTTATTTTTCATGCCTCAGCCCTTCTCGTTGACTGATCATATGAACCCAGTTATTGTAATACATACTTCATATACTATGTAAGGAGACACAGAGCTTGAATTAACATGTTCAGTCCCTTATTTACTGTGGGAGAGAATAGCTTGTGTTCCAATGGCTGAGTTTTTATTTTGAAGAGCTTAAGTGTCTATTACTGTTTGTTGATTAATTTGCAGGATTGACTTATCTTTTGCACGGATCTTCTCAAACATTAAGAGCTTCATTGACTTATTGCCTGGTAAATGGACCAGCCTTCTCAATCACAGTCTGAACCTAGAATGATGGGGTGTTCGTCTCAGCCAACTGCCATTCTACACATGATATAACTACAGGATGTAAGTGAATTATATAATTTTATTTTTCTAATTAAACTATGGTTGGTTTATGATGTGTTCATTTCTGGTGTAGAGCAAGCTGATTCAGTTTTGCATACACATATTTATGCTTTTTCATATTCTTTTCCATCATGCTTTGTGACAGGATATTGAATAGTTCCCTGTGCTATACAGTAGGACCTTGCTGTTTATTTTATAAATAGTAGTTTGTATCTGATAATCCCAAACTCCTAATTTATCCCTTCTCTATCCCCCTTTTCCCTCTGGAAACCATTAGCTTGTTTTCTATGTCTGTGTGTCTATTTCTGTTTTGTAAGTAAATTCACTTGTGTCATATTTTGGATTCTACATAGAAGTGAGACCATATGGCATTTATCCTTCTCTCTCTGACTCACTTTACTCAGCCTGACAGTCTCTAAGCCCATCCATGTTGTGGCAAATGGCATTTTGTTCTTTTAAAATAGCTGAGTGATATTCCATTATGAACCACATCTTCTCGTCCATTCATCTGTTGATGAACATTTAGTCTGTTTCCATGTCTTGGCTTTTGCAAACAGTGATGCTCTGAATGTTGGGGAGTATGTATCTTTTTGAATTATTATCTTCTCCAGATATATGCCCAGAATTGGGATTGCTGGTTTATATGACAACGCTCTTTAGTTTTTTACGGAACCTCCATACTGTTTTCCATAGTGGTTACACCAATTTCCATTCCCACCAACTGTGTAGGAGAATTGCCTTTTCTTCATACCTTCTCTAGCATTTCCTATTCATAGACATTTTAATGATGGTGATTCTGACAAGTGTGACGGATACCCCATTGTAATTTTGATTTATATTTCTCTAATAATTAGTGATGCTGAGCATCTTTTCATGGGTTTACTGGCCATTAGCAAGTTATAGTTACTTCAGATATAATTCTGAGGTTTCACAAATGAATCTTCTGGACAAAGTCATGTTTCCTACATCTAAATGCATTAGTGTTGATATTTTTTGATCATGACATCTGCTTTAGTAGTGTGGTATGGCAATCATTCAATGGTTTTTCTAAAGTATTCTGATTTCAAAATGATCAGTTAAGACAGATGTAAAGGTCTGTGTCCACTAACTGCATATATCCATTCATTTACCTACTTACTTTTTCATCTATTTAACTAATGTTTATTTACTATTAGCTTGTGTTTAAGGTTAGGAGTCAGGAAATGGAAATGCAACCATAAAAAAAGACTTGGCTCCAGACATCCAGGAGCTTATTATTTAGCTGGAAAGAAATATCCATGCAAAAGTGCAGGTCACATGGCAATAAAAGCAGCTCATAAAAGGCTGAATTTTATTTAATTCACAGAAAAACATTAATGTTCAAGATTTATTACTTCAGTAAAAACTCAACCTAATGTGACTCTATTATAGTTAATGTTATTTTATTATAAAAATATTATCTTCTAAGTTCCTTTTACTGCAAGTCTGGTAGTCATCCTAAAAGAAACCATATTTGAAAAATTTTAAGGAGAGCAAATATGTGAATAATCTTTATGCTATTAAAGCTCTGTGCTCTTTTGACTGCAAGGATAAAAAAATTCTTTCACTTGATTTTTCTCGGGCCTTTGCAGAATTATTTGTATTTGACAAATTATAACTCCAAGAGAGAGGTTAGAAGAAGAGAATGTCATTTCTTGATTTTCACATCACCTGATATTGTTGTGGTTTTGCCTCTGCAATAAACTAAGAGAACAGAGCTATAGTAAACATATATCCATGCTAATGAGGGGGAAGTGCAGGATTACAGTTTTACTAATCTTCTATCCCATATTTGTATGCAGGAAGAAGGTGTTTGTACTGTTTCGATAGTATTTCATTTTCTGTTTTGTATATAAAAACAAATCTTATAATGTTAAATTCATTAAGTCATTCAAATCAGAAATATGTACAGTGTGAATAAATTGAGAACCAAATACACNATTCATGTCAATGTATGACAAAACCCACTAAAATATTGTAAAGTAATTAGCCTCCAACTAATAAAAATAAATGAAAAAAAAATATGAAAGGAGAAAAAAAAATAATGAAAGCAAAATGTTATTTTTGTCAAAACATTCATTACTGCTGGTAGTTGCAATAGGAGGCTGAAAGAAACAGGACGGTGGAACCAAGAAACATGCTAAGTGTTTGGCCAGTTGAACAAAAAAAGATGAGTGCATCACAGAGGGCAGAAGTTACATGACAAAACATTCATTAAAAAGGGCTTATCCTGTACCCTATGCTCTGTTCAGAGGACGCTACTCTTCCATAGTTTCATTCGTTACATGCCACAGGAGCTAAGTGCCCAGTTTCCCCCAGAAACCTCATCGAGACTCCTGGCATCTCAGGGATCCTATGTGGAAAGGAGTCCCAGCTTTATCCCACTCCTGGAACACTGAAAACGTTCCTACTCCTCATTTAGATGAACCCTGCTGCCAAAGCCACCACCCTCATTACCTAGAAGCATCAGTCTCCATCATCTTCATCTTTTTCAAAGTCTCAGTCCTTCCAAGTCAAAGACTTATAAGTTGCATGATTTCAGACATCCAAATCTTTAATAGGAACATGGATTATTCAGACAGAAAGAATGTCACCTCTTTATCCTCTTTACTGAAAGGATGCCAGAATTTACAAATTTGAAAGGCCTGGACAATTATATCTTCCCACAAGATGATGTCACTGTTAAATGTGTGTGTGTATATATGTATTTATGTGTGTGTGTGTGTGTGTGTGTGTGTATGGGCTTCCCAGGTGGCACTAGTGGTAAAGAACCCACCTGCAATGCAGGAGACATAAAAGACTCAAACTCGATCCCTAGGTTGGGAAGATCCCCTGGAGAAGGGAATGCAACCCACACCAGTAGTCCTGCTGGAGAATTCCATGGACAGAGGAGCCTGGTGATCTACAGTCCATGGAGTCACAAATAGTTGGACAAGACTTGGCAACTGAACAAGCAATTTTGTGTGTGTGTGTGTATTTTTTCCCTCTGAGTTTTATAGGAAAAGCATCTGAACAAGTTGAGATATCCTACTTTTACTTGCAGTATAAGCAGACCTCCCTCCCCACATTTCTTAGACATAAACCTACAGGTTTTTTGGCTTACACACTCTCTAATCACTGTGCTATGAGCTAGACCTATGCTGCTAAAGGCCCTGAAATCAGGGTAAATGCCCAGGATAACCTATCCTTAAAGAGCAGACCTTATTTTCCATAATTCTTGGGTTATGCGCGTCTCCCATGGTAGGTTGCCAAAGGATCTGGCAAGTCAGTTGATAACAAGTTACTCAGATCCAAGAAATGTTGTAATTCTTGACAAATGAGTTGAGTTTTTATAGCTTTGAGCCAATTTGTTGCCAGTGATAAGAATGAGCATCCAGGCGATTCACTAAGAAATTCTGATGAGCATCAGCATTAGTGAGCTTCATTTTCCAGCCCCAGCCTACATGTAGCTGAGAACAGAAGCTTTCTATAAGGCCATGCTGGAGATGTACATCACTGGGTGACACAGATAAACCTACGAGAAAAAGGCCTTTTCCCTGATAATCATTGGAAATGATTAAACACTTAAGGATTGTGTTCTGTTTCTGGCTGTGGCATTGACTTTTATCAGTTCTAGAAACTAAATCTGTCTTAATATGTCACATCTAGGTCTTCCTCTTGTTTTCTGCTGGGTTTCCTGGATTTCTAAAACAGAGGGTTTTGTTTGGCTATGGGTTTTGTTGATGGTAATCTCTGTTATGTGTAGAGTACAACCCCTGAACTTTGTTTCCTGGGGCTGGAGTAATGTGCTGGAACTTCCAGATCGTAATTTTCTGGTTTCCTGAACTGATGGACTTTTGCTTGCTAAAGATATCTACTGTATTGGATTTGTTGTCCTACAATGGAATGTTTATCTCGGTTCTTGGTCTTCCCTGTTCTAGGCCGTTGTACTGTCAGCCAAGTGCCATTTCTGTTGATGTGGAAGAAACCAGAGACTGATGCTTTTCTGTTGGCAGGAGCCTACATTGGAAAACTTAGATTCTTTTGAAACAAGGGTAGGAAAAAACAAAGGAGCTAATATAGAGAGCTATTTTTAGGTACTAGGTTTATGCTAGGCAACTGTATGTTTATATTATCCCTAGGCCACTAAGTTCTTTAGGAGCTGGATACATGTCTTTTTAAAAAACAGAATCTAGCAGAGTATATGGTACATTGAGAATAAATATAATAAATTATCGCATTATCTTTTCATATACAACTTATAATGGGAGATGCTGCTGCTAAGTTCCATATTATAGATAATCAAATTGGCATTCAGAGAAATTAGGCAATTTGTCCAATGACATTTTAAAAGACAGACCAGCTCTCAAATCTGATGTCTGACTCTAAAATCCATGATGTTTACTCTATTGGTCTGTTTTCATTTGTTTCCAGTTTACATATAATTTATAAATACTTTAAGAAAGAGTTGAAGCAACTTAAAGATTAACAGGTATATAACAAAATAGTTTCTTTAAAATAAACTTCATATGAAAAAGGAAATAATTTTTTAAAAATTGAAATAAGCTATTTGTTTCTACCACGTGATACAATAAATTTAAGCTCTTTAGAAGGCAAGGCAAAGAACTACATGGTGGATTATATACATAGTTTAATTTTCTAATAAATGAAAAATACAATTTCTTTCTGCTAGCAGTTTTTTCTTATGATAAACATAAAAAGGAAACAAGACTAAACTCTCCCTAGGACCAACATGGACTCCAGAACAAATAAAATGATTAGATAATATGAGAAAAGTTGTGTTAATTTTAGCTTATGATTCCATTTACAAGCTGGTGACATCATCCAGGTGATAATAGCAATGGTGAGGGTGCTTTGATTACTGAATCTAATGGTTGCTTTGTCACAAGTCACGTCCTGTTCTTTTTGTGACCCCATAGACTGGAACTCACCAGGCTCCTCTGTCCATGGGATTTTCCAGGCAAGAATACTGGAAAGGGTTG